TATCCGCATTAGAAAGCATTCTTTACCAGAGCTTTATATGACTCGCTTCTATCAGCCAACACACAAAAAAATAGGCCTGGGCAACGATTAATCGCATCCAAAATAAAGGTTTGTGTTTATAAAATATATGTGTGTGTGCTGTGTATAATTCATTGGTATATACACACACACACATGCATGTGTTTAAGAAAAATGTGTTGTTTATATAAAAAAAATATATATATATTTATATAGATTATGTATGAATATACACAGTATACACATGCAAATATTTCTTAAATATATACATGTGTTTGTATTTATATACAAAATAATTATACACAGCACACACACACACATATTATGTAAACACAAACTTTTATTTTGGATGCGATTAATCGTTGCCCAGCACGAACATATCCTGGCTCTTCCCAGCTTTATAATGAAAATGAATGATTCCCATTGATATTTGGAAGACTCCAGGGGTTAATAAAGGCCTTTTGAAGCGAAAGCACTCCGTTTTTGTAAAGAAAAATATCCATTTAGCGTTAGTTTGGTGTTGGTTTGTTTTGTGGTTAGTGTGAAAGCAAATGAAACTCGGTTGAGCAGCTTACCTGAGTAAACGTGAATCGCAGCGGTTTACATGGGGTCGAGTGGATGCCATGTCAGAAAGATGGAAATTACAGTCTGTTGGTGTTCGTTACTGGGCTTCAGTTTCATATGTGTACATATTTCAGGCCAGACTCGATGCGACAAGAGCTGAAAGCAAAGCCAATCCGAGAGCGCGACGCGACTGTGAAGTTCGATTCACTAACAAATGACTCTTATGAGCAATGAATCGTTTTAATAAACTCGCATTGAATCAGTCATACTGTGCCAGAAGTAATGTCGTTGTAATATCTGTAAACCTCTTCGTTCATGCATATCCTCATTTTCAACTTACTATTAGATGTGTGGTCATGAAATTAATTTGATGAGTCTTTAAAATAACCAAATATAAATGACAAGGAAAAAATCAACTAATAGAAGAGAACAATTGCATGTTTTTGGAGGGTCTTAAGATCGTTTATTATGGAAGATTATTTTCACAGGCAAAGGCTTTGTGCTCTAAGAAAGCTGCGGTATTTTTAGTAAATTCTGTAGTAGTTTGATGCTATTTAGTGCAAATAGTGGCACTGTATTATAAAACTATGAAATAATAACAACATAATGAGTAAATGATTATATTTATTAAAGCCATGCTGCTTTATTGGGACAATAAAGCCTTGGCGACCCCTAACCCGACTCGATAAACACTTTATTCCTACTATTAAATACCTGTCATGCACTTTATTTCCACTTTCAAATATTTTCTTAATTTTTTTACTTCAGATAAACGCCTCTGTGGGATGATATGCGATGGGAGAAGAATGAGTTGGGAGAGAGCTTTTCTCTCCACAGCACTGCTGTTATCAAACAGGTTTCCTCTGTCATTCTGTCTGGACCAATCACACACTGGTGGGCGGAGTTACTGTAGCCTTGGTGTAATAGACACTTTCTATCTCACAATTGCGAGTTTACATCTCGCAATTCTGACTTTATTTCTCAGTTTTGCGAGATATAAAGTCAGAATTTTGTGTTATATTGTCAACTGTGTGTCACAAAGTCAAAACAAAGTCAGATTTTATTTGTATAACGCTTTTCACAATACATATTGTTTCAAAGCAGCTTTACACAATAAATGTACATAGACAAATACAGTTACATTAGAAATACATTAGAATTGAGTAATAATTAATCATATTACAATGAGTAAAACCTTTTTGTTTTAAGTCACCATTATGGTGATCAGTGTTTGTTTTCGGTTTGTTTTAAAATGACGGTTTTCTCCTTCAGTGATTCTGCTTGTTAACATCAGGTGTCTTCAATGTTGGCAATATAAAATAAAGAGTTCTTAATTAATCTTTGACGTCTGTCTGTTATTCAGATATTTTTGTTTAATTTATTGGTGTAAACATTTTAAATGGTTAACTTTTAAGGAATAATTTGATTCATTATTACTTGTTAAATTTAACTAATTTTGCTTGTAATCTATTGCCGCAATTTTATTGATTAGATATAGCATAATAATTTTTACAGTGTAGGCTATAACATCGTAGACGTCGAGTCGTCTCATCGCAGGATGGGCCAATTGTGACTTTAAATAATGCAAAAAAAAATCCTGAATTGTATGGCAAGCCGTTTTAACTTTTAATCATTCACAGGATATGAATTCCATAGTTTCAGTAGGAATGAGCGTTCTCCGTCTTAATAACTGTGATGTGTAATCCCTGTACTTCTCATGAATCGCCCGCTTCAGAACAGCAGTTTGCACAGTTTTGGTCGTAAATCTAAAGGGATCTTACTTTAATACCACAGTGGAACTATAACATCTTGCCCAGAGTCATTACCCAGATCCAGTGGTAAACACATCATGCCACTAATGTCAAAGCTGATGGCACAAGAGAGCTGCACGAGATTCAGATCCAGAGCGAGTGTGAATGCAGACTGAAGACGGACTCGGGGAGTGATGATGGGAGTCCGCGGGTTCAATCAATGACTGTCAGTCTGAGGCATTCACTGGGAATTATCCGCACATTCACCTCCCAGTAAACCAGTTAGAAGGACATGCCCTCCAGTCCCCGAGGCCAGTACTCACAGATGGAGACGGAGATGCATTTCTTCATGGATATATTGGCTATTTATTATCCCCTGAATGGCACAGCGCCGGCGGTGTTGCTGGAGGTGTGTGTGTGTTGTTGCTCTGGAAGGGAAAGTGAGTTCTTGGAAGAGGGTGTGTTCACGGCAAGCTCTGGGCTGATGGATCTTATATTTAGACACAGCCGGTGCAGATAAATCAACTTCATTAATTTTCATCCCAGAACACCATTCCTCAAGTGTTCACTGTCATTTTTAAAATTTTCGTTTATTTTATGTGTGTGTATATATACGGTATGCGTCCTTTAAACACGTTAAACTGACATAATAACAGTCTTTTTAATAGAACAGTTTATAACAGTTTCCATTTGACAAAATCTTAAAAATGAAATAAAACAAAAAAAACTCTAAAAACATACTTTGTACTGCCTGTGTTTTTTGTTGAGTTTCACATCTGGCTTTTATAGCTCATATTGTCTGATATAGTGATAATATGGAGGGGAAACAGTTTGATTTAAAAAAAAAAAAAAAAAAAACAAGAAGAAGAAAAAACTAAATTTGGTGCAGATGTTTGGTGCAGATACACAAGCATGTGTGTGTATTTATAAATATAAAATAATTATACACAGTGCACCCACATATATTATGTAAACACAAACTTTAATTTTGGGTGCGATTAATCGTTTGACAGACCTAAATATCAGTAATATGTCTTAGTAAGAAATTTAAATGCTTAGTTTTATAATAGTTTTAATAAATATAATGCAAACATATTCCACCGTTATCTGCAAACCTCTTTGTTCATGCGCATCCTCATTTTTATTACTTTGCCTATACCATTAGATGCGTGGTCATGAAATGAATTTGATGAGTCTTATCTAATAACATAAAATATAAATGACAAGGAAAAATAGTAACTAAAAGAGAACAAATGCATTTTTGAGGAGATTGTTTATTACAGAAGAATATTTTTCCAGCAAAGAATAAAAAAGGCAATGCAATGATGACCGAGAGATCAACAAATAAACCGTCCTCAAAAGACTGATTTTTACAAAAATGGTGTCTGTATAAGCTGAAATATTACTAACAATATGAAAGTTATTCTTGCGTTACTTGATAAAGATCAGAGTAGATTTGACAGCAAAGACACTGAAGACACTGTCGAGCTGATTGTACAATTATAAAGAGTTTTACTTGAACTCTCAATCCGGAGGAGACTTGATCATGTTGATCATATAGAGCCTTAGAAATGAAAAAAATGACTCATCAAGGTCATTTCAGTGTAAAGCACATTTTCACAGCATTAAAGCATTTTTAGGACACGTTTATTCTGTTAAACACGTGTGTGAAGATGCTCAGACTGATCAATGCTCTGACACACACACACTCGAGATCTGGGAATGATGAATACTGTTCTTCTTTACTGAAACTAAAACTGACACAAAACATCTTGAATATTTCCTAGATGAACTCAGATCTGAATGATTGCGGTGTGGTATGAGTGTGTGTGTGTGTGTGTGTGACAGATCCTGTACTGTAATTGCTTATAAGGCCATGATGTGGTGTTTGTACTTCAGTAAACCTTCTATATGACCCCAAGAATGAACGGAGATAAAACAGAGGCGCTCTCGGGATGAAACACAGTCCCTGCTGGCTTATTCACGGACACACACTATCCTTCAGATGAAAACACACGACACACACTCCAGCAAACCTCTGGGAATGTGTGTGTGATGTGACGATGTCTGCGACTGAACAGCTGATCTCAGAAAACCGTACAACCTTTTATAGCGTTTAGATATAAAACACGTGTTCGTACGACATGATCGAGAAGAACTTTCAATTCAAAGTAAATGGATGACATATTTGGAGAATTTAAAAGCAGAAAACTTACATATTTTTATAAAAACATGGATAAAACATATTGTATTATTTGAGATGTAACGCTGTTTATATTATTATTTACAGTCATTTTAGGGTTTGGAGACTGCATATATATATGTGTGTGTGTGTGTGTGTGTCTTGTTATATAGATAGTTTTGGTTTTTGTTTCATGTTCATGTTTCCTGGTTTATCATGTGATTCCCTTGTCCTCATGTGATCATGTCATGTGCTTCTCAAGTCTCATGTGTTGTGTTGTCATTGGTTCATTGTTTTGATTGTTTACAGGTGTGTCTTGTTTAGTCATCAGACCTTGTGTATTTAAGACCCCATGTTTGCCTTGTTAGTTCGTCTAGTAAGTTCCAAGTTCCAAGTTCCAAGTTCCAAGTTCCAAGTTCCAAGTTCCAAGTTCCAAGTTCCAAGTTCCAAGTTCCAAGTTCCAAGTTCCAAGTTCCAAGTTCCAAGTTCCAAGTTCCAAGTTCCAAGTTCCAAAGGTCCGACCAACAGTGGATCTCTGAGCTGAGTGAGTGGAGGTGGGGCTCATTTGCATATTTATAGAACCACACATCCTAAATAAGGCAAGGGTGTCGAGTTACATTCAACATATTTTAAGACATGAAGAATAATTTGCAAGAAAAAAATGTTTAAATATGTAATTTTGGTAATCAAAACCGAGTTTTAAGGGGTTAAATGATTGACTACAGGGACTTTAATAATGTTTAAATATTTGTGCTAGAAAACCCTTTTTTTGTAGTGTGGCAACAAAGTTGTAAACTTGCATTTGACTGTTAACAGAAAAGGTCGTAAGTGAAAGCAAAATCATGTTAAACGAGCATTATTTACTATATTAAAACTGAATATTTGAATATTGATGAATTGGCCCCATTCGCTTCCTTAAATCTTTCCCTTAAACCTGCTCGTTTTAGTTCACTTTCATGGCTTTACGTGCTCACACATGTTCAGTTGTGACTGATATGCAGTCGACCCAGAGAAAAAAAGAAAAAAATCAACACACACATCCACCATCTTGTCGAAAAATGCAAGCCATGTATAAACACTATAAATTGTGAGTGTGTTTTCTTGGTCCGAGTCCAGAGCCGGAGAAGCTGCTTCGGTCATGACCAGATTTGGACACGTGTCTCGTCGTCTGCTGTTCGCTGATGATGGGAGATTCCTGTTAATGGCAGAAGGAATGAAACCATACCTGGAAACCACTGTTTGAGCAAAGAGTGCTGGAGGACGGACACTTGTGGACAGAAGAAACCCTTCGGTGAAGTTTATCCAGTCCGAGAGCTTCTCCGTTACAGAACGTCAACATAGGATTAGCTGAACTTCATTTAAAACAAAGGTAGGCCAACAAGTGTCACATCTGCATCTCATATTTTCATTTCTACGATTACTGACCGTAAATCACTTTTTCATGCAGAGATTAAATATTTTAAGTCCAGGCTTCATGAACTGCATGTGAAAAATTCTCATTTTCATGTAAACGATAAACAGCGATTCATTCCCAGGAACAGACATTGAAATCATCACGCTGTATCTTCTCTCATGGGTCAGTGTGTGATCAAAGATGATTTTTTACCTCATAAATTGTCATAATTTAGAAATTAAAGGCCATTTTCTACCCTGAATTTAGCCTGTGATATGAACAATCTGTTTGAAGGGGCGTGTCTTCAATGTAAACGCCCTCTTCTCTGATTGGCTAACATCTTTGCATATATAATTACATGTTGAACTCTCTCAAAGTCCTCTTCTGTTCTATTACAGCTGTCCAGATTAACTAATCATGAAAAGTGCTGATTATAGCACTATAATCTGATTTGGTCTTTCATTTGTATTACAAAATCTAAAACAAGTCGTTTTCTGAGCTTGGTTTCAATTAAAGCTGAATTTCTCAATTCGTGACCCCTTTAAAGCCCCCCTGCAGTCATTTTTAAATAATTATTTCAATTACAACTCATCTTTAATAATAAAAATTACATATTTACACGTTTGTTCCTGTGAAAATATTTTCTTCATGCTTTAAGTAGCCTAAGCAGTGAGGTGCTGTCTTGTGAGTAACGGTGTTGTTCGGCTCAACGCGAGCGGAGTAATTTATTCACGAATCACGATACAATACAGCACGAGCACATGCCTCGAGTAGGCTACCTTATTGCTTTTATAAAACGGTTACCACACAATAAAAATATTCAAGTTAAAAAAATGCATTAGTGCAACTTTCATGAAGTAAAATCTCTAAAAGCCTTCCTTCCGCTAGAAAAAAATAGTCCCTGAGCGTGAACAGCAACAACGCTCCGGTGTGTAATCTGCATGAAAGCTCAAATAAACACAACATAGGAACCGCAGCGTTACAGTGATACACAGAACCGTTGGGTGAAGCGGTCATAGAGGTGTTTTATCGTAAATAGAGCACAGCTGTTGACCAATCAGAATCAAGGATTGGAGACTCTACACAGCCTTGCTCATTTAGTAAACATTGAGCCACGAATATGCAAATCTGCCTCCGCCTCAAACCAATCACAGCAGCTTAGATCACCTGCAGACATCCTGGTTTGATTAAGCCATGTTGAAATTATTAAAAACATGTATGTTAATTGAAATGAAGCTGGAAAAAAATACTAGTTGAAAAACTTAAACTAAATGAAAATTAGATATGTTGAAAACTGAGATAAGTTTAAGTACTAAAATTATTAACAGGGAAAAAACCAAACTAAAACTAAATTAAACCTATATATCAAATTTTATCTCAAATAAAATAGCTAAAGCACAAAACTAAAATTAACATAAAAAGCTTATATAATTAAAACAAAAAACAAAAATGAATATTTTTTTAATGTTATAAAACATGTAGCAACAGAAGTTTCGTTTTAATTAGAATTGGTAAGCACATTTACCACAATATAATATTCCTAACATTTTTAAAGGCAGCATTGCTGAATTTAAAGTAGCACGTCTGATAGCTGAAGTGATCAGATAATAAGAGAAACTGCATTATTATTATTTACTATATGCATTGCCAGTGTTTTCACATTATAATGCACAAGTTCCAGAAGGATTGGGTGAAAGTGAGAGAGTCTGCCAGTGTCCAACAGAGGGCAGCAAAACACAGGAGCTGCAGATCTCCCCGGTAAACATTCAGTCACATGATCTTATTAATATGAAGGAGTTGGTTTGTCCACATCAGGTGCTTGAGGCGTATATGCATTGCATTGTGTTTTAGCTCTATTTTATTTATAGAAAAATCACACTTTTTGGAATTGAATTCGATTAATTCATTGTGATGATTAAGATTGTATACAAGCTTACATAAGATTTCATGGATGAACATATGACTCATAACTCAGAGATGTGATCATCAGGGAGAGTGCTCATAAAATTAATGAAAGCACGGCCCAAACGGACAGCCTTCAATTAACACCCCGGCCTCTGCTTGTAATGGGATGACCTGTGACTGCGGATGATTTATGACAGCATATGGGCGTCATGGAAACTGCATCTCCACTCATTAACACACGTCATTAGTCTGGGTCCTCTCTTTCATTGGACAGCTGATTAGACATTTTGATTGACAGCCGAGTTGCCCCTCCCACTCGCAAACCACACACACACTATTCATAAAACCTCATAATCAAACAGTCAAAAACACATGCGAGTCATTCTGGAGCCGCTTTTATGCACAACATATCAGTGCAAACCAAAAGAGTAATATTTGATTGAAAAATTAATGGCAAGTAAGACGTTGAATTAAACGTGAAATTTTGAAGTAGAAAGAATAAAATATTATTTCCAGTAATGTTGCACATTGTGGTGGTTGTGTAAAGCGCTTTGAGTGCTGAGGGAAAACGCTACAGAAATGAAACACATTTTTATTATTATTAATTTTTACTGCACAAAAAAAAATGCTTTTAGACTGTATTGTTTCATGTGATTACTTGAATGATGTCAATAAAAAATATATAATGTAAATATTTGTGAAGAAAATTGTATTCCTAAAAAAATATTGTATGAATAGAGAATGCAGTGAGTTCTGCTGTAACACTAATGTGATGATGGAGAGACACACACTCCCTGACACTGACGGCTGAAGGAATCTCATCATCCATCACTGACGGTGGACAGAAGAGAAACACCTGCAGAATAAACATGACTCTGGACTACTGGAGGCTTTATTTGGTTCATTATGTTGAACAAATCTACAGCTATTACATAAAAACGTGCATATTCTAATGCACTTCCACTGCTTTTATTTATTTATTTATTATCATATATCTGTGGGAAATACTAATTACCAATATCGGTTTTATCAGAGATTTTTTCAATTGGTTGGTATCGGTGGATCTTGCATATACAGGTCAATATTAGGCTATAGACATTCATTGATGCTAATTTTGTGATCCCTAGATTTACTTTTATTTTAGTAATGCTTTATTTAGTTAAACACGAGAACTTTAATATCGTCTATTTTGCCAATAACACGATGGGTGCATCTATATAGCCATATATAAATATAGCCTACATGTCAATATTGTTTTAATTCGCGGAATATAATTATTCAAGAGTGTGAGCTAACCCGGGTTATGAGTCTTGATATATAAACTTGTCCCTCAAATCTGATTGGTTGATGGGAATCATGTTGTTCCTGGATCTACAAAGATGTTCATTTAATTCAGGAACATGTTGTTGGTGAGATCCTGTTCGCCCTGTGTAATAACGCCACAGATTTGAGCTGTCAATTATAAATAAACACGTCCCCGGGAAATGTGATGATTATCTGATCTGTGCGATCACAAGCTGAATTTTGAGACTCGGATTATACATTTTGTATTAGTGCCGAATTCCTTCAGTCTGTGTTTTATAGTCCACATTTTCACCCGTTCAGCAAATGTGCCCAATAATGGAATCAAAAACAAGACTAGCTATATCTTTTATTCATATAGTCCAGGCAAGATTTCAATAGCCTAAATCGTGACTGAATCTGAACCAATCAGAATGAACATTTAAAAGACCCAAAGCCAATCAGCATATCACTTCAATCAGCTGGTATAAAAACGTTTTAAAATATAGCGAAATATTGATAAAATCACAAGTATTGAATGCAAAACACCTGAGAGTGTTCATGACTGAATCAGAGACGAGTCTTCTGAGCAAGTCTTTTTGTGAATAGAATCACTATTCGAACATTCTGAATCGATTCCCAAACGGAAGTTATTCTTTTCGAATGAGAATCATTGTAATCGTAAACGTTGTGTCGGATAATAAAACACGATCATACTTCTTTCAAAAATAAAGTTACATCATGTTCGGTGTTATGCCAAAAAACAAACAAAGAACAAACACTATTGGCTTAGAAAAATAAATGAAACTATATTCTCAAACTTATACAATCGCATCCAAAATAAAAGTTTGTGTTTACATAATATATGTAGGTGCACTGTGTATAATTATTTTATATATATAAATACACACACATGCTTGTATATGTCCAAGAAATATTTTCATGTATATAGATTTATATATAATTTATATGATATGTAAATATATATTTTATAAATATTTTTTTTTCTTAAATATACATGCATATGTGTGTGTATTTATATATATACAAAATAATTATACACAGTGCACCCACATATATTATGTAAACACAAACTTTTATTTTGGATGTGATTAATCACGATTAATTGTTTGACAGCCCTAAAAAAACAGTACATTTTAAAACCAGACAAGAAATAAAATTACTTTTTTGTAGATCTGCTATATATCCTATTCACATGATATAATTATGGTTATTGTGTCTTGATCAGTCTGGCAGATTTGTACTCTAGACAGCAGAAATGATATCCGGCTGTAAACCGGTTTCCGTCTCGTCGTCGCTGTAAAAGATTGTTAGACCGAGGTGTCCAAGGACAGCGTGTTCCCGTTCACACAGATGTCCATAATTTGAGCTGACGAGTTCTCGTGATCAAACCCGGGCTCATTCCTCAAGCTACAGCAGAGAAAAACTGAAAATTGTCATTGATTTTCTGAAGCTTTCTGACACACTGAGACTGTTGAATTGATCACGGTCAACATTAGAAACATTAGGACTATATTATATCATATTCAACACAGTAGGAATTGTTACTCTAAATGTGAGGTGCACTGCATGCATCAAAAAAATAAGCAGAAAGAATAAAGTGACTTCATTGGTAGCAATTGCCATATATTGCATCAGGAAATCCCGAAGTTGCACAAATGCGACTGTGGAGAGAAATGAAGGTCTATGTGGATCAAGCTACACACTCGACACACTCCAGCACAGTCCTGTCTCTAACAGCAAGCTGTCAAGGCCAACGCAAGGTTGAT